GTGTTTGTAGTACCCGTGGGAGCAGTTGCATTCGAAGCAGCGGTGCCGTTCGCATTACTGCTGCTGCTGCTGCTGCTGCTGCTGCTGGTGTTTTTGTTTTTATTGTTTGTTTGCTGCAGTGCGAACGGAACAATAGCAGTCATATATGTCTCTGGGCCGAAGACAGCAACATTAAGACTTAACTCTTGAGCTGCTTGTCGCATTAACTTCATGCCGTCTTGATAGTTAGGCCCCCCTCTTCGAACATAGATAGATACATTATACTGTATAAGTTTAGCAGCATATAATCGAAGTGCTTTGATAATGCCTCTAAATGTATCCGCAACAGATGTGAAGTTAGCAATACCTCCAGCAATAAATAATATCTTGCCTTCTTCTCTATATGTATCGGGCGCAGTAACAAGCTTAAGAATTGTCTTAGCGTATTCAAATGTTGTTGTCTCGCTAGGCGCCCCAGAGTACTCGCCGTAATTGCACAGCTCATCGCTATATCCTAAAGAACAAATAGAATCGGCGAACACTACTGAAGCCCCGCCCCCAGCTATCATCGTCCAAATCCTTCCTTTTGGGTTCAACACCGTCAGCTTCAACGATGCACCTGTCTTCTGATCCAGCTCCCTATACACCGCACACACATATATATAATATAATATATATAATATAATATATATTATATATATTATATTATCTAGCTAGCTAGCTAGATGTAAAGCAAGGAAATTGTCGAGCTAGATAGATACAAACCAAACAAAGTAACATATGCCCACCTAGCTAGCTACCCATCCCTATAGCTAGCTAGCTACCCAACTACCTAGCTAGCTAGCTACCCAGATAGCTACCCAGTTAGCTACCAAGCTACCTAGCCACCCATCTATCGAGCTACCCAGCTAGCTACCCAGCTAGCTACCCAGCCAGCTACCCAGCTAGCTACCCAGCTAGCTACCCAGCTAGCTACCCAGCTAGCTACTCAGCTAGCTACTCAGCTAGCTAGCTAGTTATGAATGAACAAAGGATTAGTTTCTTACCTGATGTAGAGCTCTTCCTCAGTAAGCTCTCTGCCGAAAGGGTTAGGGGGTCTCAAGCCTCGCCAAGCGGTTGGGCAGAGAAAGTCGCTGGCTCTGTCTATCTTTGCTGCTACATCTAGTATCCGAAATTGTTTGTTTTGTTTGTCGAAAGAGAAAGGATTTATCTCTAAGAAAGCAAAGTGTAGTCTACAGAATCGGGTGTACAGACAGCGCAAGAAGCAAGGAAAGACAGCTCTTGCTTCTGGATCTGTAACATCTTTAATAAGAGCATTTATCTGCTCATCAGGTATATATATATCTTCATCTTTACCCTCTTCTAGCGGTCTTACATGCAATAATATTTTATTAGCTTCTGTTTCAACATCGCCTACATGTACACCCCCTTTAGTAGAAAATAATATTTCGTCGCCTTCTTGCTTAGTTCTCATTGCAATATAATACTCATTTTCAGAGCTATGTTCAAAATACTCTTCAATTAAGAAATGCGAGAGACGCCCTTCAACATTATCAGCACAATATAGAGTATTAAGCTGCTGCTGGAGGTGCCTATACACCTCAGCCCAGGAAGCATTCAACAGCACCAAACCCAGCTTCCCTCTTCTTTTTAATAATACATCAGGCTTTAATACTAAACGACTTTCTCTTAAAAATGAAAACGAAGAAGTCAAATCTTCAATAGATCCGCTTGAAGAGCTTACTAATACACATTCGCCTTTGTGCATACACCGGCAATTCTTCTCCTCGTCAAACCCTCTCTCTTTTTCTTCTCGCCAGCCTTCATAACTTCGCCCGTACAATAACAGACACTTGGCGTCCGCTTCCCGAATGCTGCACGCCATCTGCAGCAGCAGCAGCAGCAGCAGCAGCAGCAGCAGCAGCAGCAGGGCAAGACACTAGCATAATTCCCATACCCCCAAACCATCTGCTGCAGTGCTGCTGCTTCTCAGCAGCAGAGAGATACAACAGCAACACCATCTGTATCTGCTACTCCTACGTCAGCCGAAGCAGCAGCAGCAGCAGCAAGAGCAGCTGCTGCTGCAGCAGCAAGAGCAGCTGCTGCTGCAGCAGCAAAAGCAGCGGAAGCAAGGACTGCGGCGGCATGCTCCAGGTCCCAGCCACCCGCAGCAACAACAACAGCAGCAGCAACAACAACAACAGCTGCTGCTGCTACGCACAGCAACACCCGCATCAACCCTTGCAAGAAGAGCAGCAGCAGCAGCAGGAGCAGCAGCAGCAGCAGCAGCAGGAGCAGCAACAGCGGCACGTGGAGCTAGGGGTAGCAGCTGCTGCCTCCGCGTTTCTGTTGTGTGGGGTATATACCCCCGGAGACAGAGAATGAACAACATAAAGGAAGGAGACACTGCAAGAGCAGCAGCAGCAGCAGCAGCAGGAGCAGGAAATTGTCTTACCTCAGCGATGCTCTATGATTGGCGACTGCGGCTGTATGAGTTGAGAGAAGTAAATAAAAAAGCAATTGTTTTATTTATTTCTTCTTAATTAAGTTAAAATGGAAGCTGTATATACACACGAAAAAACAAACAACAACAAACCATAGTATACAGCAGACCCCTCACTGGCTTGCTTGCTGCTGTCTCTGCTGCTGCTGTTTAGTTTGCTGCAGTGTATATGCTACTATTTGAGGCGAAAAGAATAGATTAATTTGTTTATATTTGTCTTATATCTTTTATTTCTTGTTTATTTTAAAGAAAATTAAAAAAATAAAGAAAAATAATATACAATGTCTGCCGCTAGGCTGTACAGACACCGCCGACAAAATTATATTTCGACGTCTCTCTTTCTTTCTTTTATTTTATTTTGTTTTATTTTATTTTATTTTATTTTATTTCTTTATGAATAATATTATAATATAAATTATATATAAATACACCTCTCTATCCTTATTATTATTATTTTTATTTTTAATATTATTATTATTATTATTATTATTATTGCTGCTGTTGATATTATAATGCTGCATAGTATCTTTTTAATAAGTACACCCTTCTCCTTCGCTCCCGCTGTTCTTCGCTGCGTCGTCCTCAGTATTCAAACTTTTGTTTTTTTTTCTGTGCAAAGTCTGTCAATTCTTTTTTACGTAATTTAACTCAAAACATCGAAGAAAATCGCCAAAGACGCCGTCGATAGCTCTCGTACCCCGCC